TGGCCTTGAATTGTCAGGTCAAGTTATATATTGTTGTAACCTATGCAGAGATAGCCAAATTTTTCGACATTAAACTGGAGTTGCCAGGTGTCACACCATCTATCCATTTTTTCTAATTCTTGCTGTATGGCGTTTACTGTTATTCCGAGATCCGTGTTCTTGCATTTATAGGTCACTTTTAAGTCATCTGCATATAGTATTGGTTTACCAACACTAAAGCATTCACAGATACTGTTTATATATATTATGAATAGGAGTGGGCCTAATACACTTCCCTGGATTACACCACTACTTACTGGTTTAGGCCTTGAGATTATCGAGCCAACTTTTGTTATCTGATTCCTGTCACAGAGAAATGATTTTATCCAGCTCAGGAGAGGGTCACATATCCCTAGTGAGCATAACCTGTAGACTAACAGATTATGGGGGACTCTATCAAAGGCTTTTGTTACATCGAAATATAGCACAATTACTAGTTCTCTGTTGTCCCTGCTTCGTGTAACTTCGTTGAAAAAGTCTATGTGACAGGTCACACATGATCTGTTTTTGAGGAATCTGTGTTGTGATGGATCGATAAGTTCATGTTCTAGTAAGTTGTCTGACACTTGGTCTTTTACCACTTTCTCCATTATTCGTGATATTACCGGTGTTATATTAATAGGTCTATAGTTGCATGCACTGGTTTTGGCCCCTGCTTTGTGCTTAGGTAATATGTATGTGGTTTTCCACACTTCAGGATAAGTTCCAGTTTCCAGTGACAGGGTAAATATTCTAAGTAACAAGACTACCATTTCCGTGCTACCATTTTTGTATATCACAGATGGTATGTCGTCTGTTCCAGTACTGCCATTTGACTTCAATGTCTTAATCGCTGAGTCTATATTTTGTATATTAAAATCTATTTCTCCTAATTTGTGGTTACTTTTACAGGTCATTTGGAAATTTGGAGTCGGGTGCACTCTGGTGTCATTGCAAAACCACTCACTGAGGAGTTCACTTATAACCTGGGGATCGTTGTATATTATACCCCTATGTTCCAAGATGCTTACATTATTGTCTTTACTGCTTTTTAGACGTTTTTGCAATATCCTACAAAGTTCCTGAGTTTTGGTGTTACCCATAAGCGCTTTAATTTCCTCATGTTGTGACTTCATTTTGTGTTTCTCTTCAAGCAGTTTAAGAGTTTCATGTATTTGGTTTAACGCATTAAATTCCTTCAATACATGTTATTTCCTTTCCAATTTCTTTAGTTTTAGTCGCGTTTTGCGGTCAATAAATGGAGTTGGTGTCTTTAGGGCAGATTTTAGGGGCGCGATTGTGTCTCTTGCTGAGCCAACTGTTTTGTAGAAAATCTCAAGTGATACATCTAAGTTATTGTTGATGAAGTATTCTTCCCAGTCAGAACTTCTCAACAGATCTGATAGGAATTCCCAATCAGCATTCTCATAGTCCCTATATTGATGGCGCACTGGGGAATTTCTAGGTGTGTATTTAGTTGTTAGTCGGAGGGGTAGCGTGCAGTGCATTATGTTGTGATCACTGTTATCGAGTTGATTTCCCGCCTCTATCGAGATGGGCTCTATGTTATCACAGAGGATTAAATCAAGAGTATTTTGGTTCCTTGTAGGAAGGCGTACGCACTGCTTCCATCCTCCTATGTCTGTAGCTTGTAGTAGCTCTTCATGGATTCTTGGTCCTGTACAGGTATCCTAGTTTACTCCAGGTAAGTTGAAATATCCACATACGACTTTGTAGTCGAAGTCCAGCGTGGCTACATGCTCTAGTATTTCTCCAATAGTTATATCAGTCATTTTAGGGCTATTGGGGGGTCTGTATATACATCCCACGAGAATTTTACTTTCGTTTGTGTGGATGCTTATCCACTTAGATTCTGGGAGTTTGTCAGTAGTTGGGTTATTGAAAGTATTGGAGTTAGTGGATTTATAGGCATATATTAAGCAACCGCCTCCTCTTTTGTCAACTCTATCGTTCCTATAGATGTCGTAGTTGTCTATTACTAACTTTGTGTCAGGTATATCAGTAGTAAGCCAGGTTTCAGTCACCATTATTAGTGTTGGCCGTTCTATGTATGCCAGGCAGCGAAGCGTTGTTATTTTGTTAAGGAGAGATCTAGCATTCAGGAGCATAATTGTTAGTAAACCAGAGTTATTGGAGGAGAGGTTAACACGGTTACTTGTTACTATCCCTACGTTATGTTTGGAGGGGCTCTGAGGTGAGACAGAGTCAGTGTGTGTACTATTTCCTGGATGAACTGTGCAGCGAGTGGGGCCATTGTTTGCTGCAGCCGAAAATAATCCTGTTGCATATTTTGACTATTAGCATCCGTGGGTCGGCATCTGCGTTCATCTACTGGTGATATATGGTGTCAATGCAGTTGAAGATTGAACGATCAATTCATTGTTGTTTGCTCAAAACCAACTTCCCCAATTTTCGCGGAGGCATCAATACGACAGTCATCGTCTCATCGGTCGCTGTTCAGAAAGAAGTCAGCAATAAACCGTCAGAAGTAATATTGTGATTTATTATTGTAATATTTGTTCACAGACCTTAGTAGAAAATTTTTTATATGTTGGTGTTACAATAAAGAATTCTCAAGTGGCCAATCGGTGTTTTGGTTTTTTCGTCCGTTATTACTAAGCGTTTCTGAAAAACTTCAAGGAACAGCGTGAGCCCGAGCGTAGCAAGAGCTGGGCATTTACGGTTTACGAGACGTGACTGACATATGGTCTGCCCTGCAATTTGCGTTGTAGTTTGCTGGACCTAGGTACCCTGTGTTAAGATTACCCTGGTAGTTGTACCTCATGGGGCTTTCATAGCCGTATGCATATTGGTTCACGTCACGTGTGTGAGTGAAGTTATTGAGGGGATCAAGTGCCGACCTCTTCTCATCATGTTGATGAGGTTTAACATAGAAAGTGCGAGAGTCTGGACGAGAATTTTCGTTAATATGGTGCCTATATGAGTCCTGTTTAGTGCCCCATATATCCCGAGAATCCATTCTACGTTGCATTCCCAAGTTATGTGCGTTGTTATGCATGTTATTTCTAGTTCGGGAAGGGGTATTCCTTCTCACATGCTGCGTGACGTCTTTGGGAATGTGCTTCGTTACCCATGCTTTGTCATTTTTTAGACTGACACGCTGCTTTTTAGACTTATTACGAGGGAGGTATGTCGAAGTCTGGGGTGGGACTCTGGGTCTTGTGGTCTTTCTTGCGGTTTTTACTGAGGGACTCTCTAGCTTGGATCCAGATTGAGTGTGGTCTGCCAGTTGTTTCTGGTCAGCCATAGTTCGCGCATCTATGTCAACCTCATGTAGGTCAGCAGGTTTTCGAGATGCGCTCTCGTGCACTCTAAGACTGCACCCAGTGGCACTGCTCTTACTGAGTTTTGGATCGCTCTTACTTGCCGTTTTTTCTCCTAACGCTATACACGTGACTTGCTGTGCTTCAGTGTCCCTCGACACTTTAGCACTGATACCAAATGTATTTCTCAGTGTTGTCAACTTTGTATCGAAGGAGTTCTTGGTTGCTTTCCTTTGGTTTGGTGTTTTATCCGAGACTACTTTAATAGTCTTGAATTTAGTGGCAGTAGCCAGAAGATCTTCGGCCATCTTAAATCGTTCAGCTGTTATGTAGCTGTCGAACCTAAAGAGTATAGGACAAGGATGCTTTAGGTCTTTTTTGCTTAGGCGAATGCACTGACAAGGTGCATTCAAGAGATTTTCAGCCTTCAGCAATGAGTGCTGGACTGACTTTTTTGGGCTCGCTATCCGGTACATTATACACTATTGCGTTTCGTTTTGAAGCCAGCCTTCTAAAAACTTCGCTGGATAGAAAGTCGATGGCGTTTTCTAACTCCTTCGCGTTTTCTGAGTCAGTATGAATCATTCTAGAGGCCATATTAAAAAGCTTTAGGATTGTAGGACCCTGCAGTTCCTTTTTCATACGTGAGATAGTTTCGGCTATACATTCTAGTGAACTTAATTTCGTTTTTAATTCATCTATCTGTAGCTGCATCTCTTTAATTACGCACGTTAAGTAAGAGAGCCCTACTTTTTCAGACAGAACATCTTCCACCTGTATTACAGGGGTCAGAGTTATGTTCGAGGCTTTTATGTTGGGTGAGCTACTAATAATATGGGGTGGTAATGTGTCATTAGATAAGCTGGTGCTATTATCTAAATTACTGGTGTTCACACGAACACGCGTTTTAGAATTTTGAACCATCGTCATTAAAGATCAATTATTAGTAACCAATAAATGAATATAAGCGAAAACACGTGCAAAAGCGTCACCTGATTTGAACGTACCGGGCGTCAGAAAGTGATGAGGGGCTGTGCCAGGATGAACAGACATAATTGACTATAATGCCGAATCTGCATTCAGTTAGGCAGTACTTCAACCATAACACAAGCAAAATCATAACAGTCTGACATATTTTATGTAGCAAGTCATGATGAACTGTGTCATCTGACTTTCAAAAGTCTCGGAAGATCATGTGGAATAGAATAGTCAAAACACAGGACGAAAATCAATGGTTACAGCGGGGAGGAAGGTGACAATGAATTTTGTGCTTTTCTTGGTGTAATTGTATGCTTCATTTTATGTTTTAGAAAAAGATAAAGTTTAAGCCAAGTTACTCCGTTTTTAAGTTTAGTTAGGCCAGGACTCTGTATTGTCAGTACTGAGGAAGGACTAAATCTGTAGGCAAAACTAATCCTACAAAGTTTCAAACAGTATGGCAGACGAAAAATATGCGATTTACAGACGTTAACTCCACAGACAGAAAAGAGTGGTGACATTTATGCCCCCTGAAGTAACGAGTATAAGTCACGCTATATGGTAGAGTTGGAGCTAGCGAAAAAGCGCATAGTCCAAATAGAGAAAGAAATTTAATTAGAAAGATTACGACAAGCGAATCACAAATGTTCTGGTCACAATAAGTCGCCTAGCAAACCTTCTACCTATCATACAGGGCTCATGGCTATGTTCAGAGAAAAGTCACGTCTTATTAACCTTAGGCTTGAATTTGTCCAGTTTCTACGCCAAGCTGACGAAATACTTTTCTGGATACGTGAAAAAGAAACTTACACAACATCAGAGGATTTCGGCCAGGACTTGGAACATGTTCAGACACCTCAAAAAAGGTTTGATGAGTTTACAAGGGATCTTGAGTATCAAGAAAGTCGTGCCGAAGACATCTATCGGAAGGGTGATGAACTTCAAAAAGAGGAATTTCCTGAGGATGCCCTAGTCATAAGAAAGTCCAGAGAGGTCCGCGAAGCTCTAAAGCGTCTGAAGGATCTGGCTAAGAAACGAAAAGAAAAGCTTCTGGAAGCCTATGAGATACAGCGCTTCTTTAGAGACACAGATAAAGCTATATCGTGGGTGAATGAAAGGTCCATTTCTTTATCCATTGAGGACTGTGGTCATGATCTTGCCTCAGTCCAAGCTTTACAAAGGAAGCAAAAAGCATTAGAAAGGGATTTGACTGCCCTAGCTGAAAAGATTGTTCGACTTGAAGATGATACTATGGCGCTTGCACAGAAGCATCCTGAGTCGCAAGACACCATACGAGGCAAGTACGACGCTTTAATTACTACATGGGCGAAGCTGTAAGGTCAGGCTGTAGATAGGAGAGGTAAACTGGTAGAGTCACTCAAGATGCATCGCTTTTTGGCCGACTGGAGAGACTTGAGTATCTGGATGAATTACATGAAAACGTTAATATCGGCAAATGATATTTTGTGAAGGACCTTAAAGAAGAATATTAGGTTTATAATAAGTCGCCTTGTCCAAAGTGGGTCAAGTTTTAGGATCATGCACCGTGAGATGTAGTCTTTCTTACAATCGTAGCCAACTAGTTTTGAGGTAAAATATCGTTGGATACTTTCCATCCTTAGCTTGTCGCGTGTGCGAGTGCTGCTTATAATAAATGGACAGTATTCTAGTAGTGGTCTGACACATGTTTTGTACAGAATTAGCTTGGCTTCATTGTCGTGAAAGTTCCTGAGTATGCATCCTAAGAGCATCCTCGATTTTCTAGTCTGTGATGCTACTTGCTCAGAGAATGTCAAGTCACTAGAGTACCTCAAGCCTAGGTCAACGACACTTCGGAGTCTTGTTAGGTTAGCAGATTGGAGCGTTAATTTCAGGTCAATTGAGGGTGCACCGAAGCAGATCCAGCCACATTTGTTCAGATTAAATTGGAGATTCCATAGGGACGACCAAGCAGTCATTTTATCTAATTCCTTCTGCACTACATTCTCGAAGTTCCCTAAGTCATCACATTGGAATGTATAAGCTACTTTTAGGTCATCTGCAAAGATGAATGGTTTCCCGTGCGTGAAGCAAGCGCATATGTCATTGATGTATAGTGTAAATAGGAGGGGTCCAATGACACTACCTTGTACTACACCAGAAGTGATAGGGCTAGGTTTGGAGGTTGCAGACCCGAGTTTAACTATTTGGGACCTATTGTTAAGGAATGATTTAAGCCATCCTAATAATGGGTCACGTATTCCTAAGGAGTTCAGCTTATTTGTTAGCAGTAAATGGTCAACACGGTCAAATGCCTTAGAAATGTCAAAGTAGATGACAAGTACTAGTTGCCGTCTGTCACGACTGCTGGTTACAAAATTGAAGAAGTCTAGGTGACATGTTAAACATGATCTGGATTTCAGGAATCCATGTTGGTTCGGACTTATAATATTGCGGCTAAGCATATGTTTGATTAAGTTATCTTTGACTAGTCTCTCCATAATTCTAGATGCTATAGGTGTGATATTGATCGGCCGGTAGTTACTGACTTCAGTTTTCGAGCCAGATTTGTGTTTAGGCATAATGAATGTTGTCTTCCATATGTCAGGGTAAGTTTGGGTTTCTAGGGACATTGTGAATATTTTAAGCAGCAGTAGAGGAATGTCAGGGCCACCATATTTATAGAAGTAAGATGATATACCGTCGGTACCGAAACCTTTTGAACTTTTGAGGGTTCTTATAGTTTGGTTAATATTAGCGTAAGTGAATTCAACAGTGCTAATTTGGTTTGGTGTGAGTGGAGATGGAGTTTGTGCCATATTAGTAATAGGGTGTATATCGAGTAGCTGGACTGAGGGCTTAAGGTAGTTACCTGCAAACGTTTTGTTGAATAGTTCACATATGTCTGCAGAGTTAGTGCATAGCCTACCTTTGTCTATGAGGAGAGAAATGCTGTGATTTTTGCGATTCATTCGCTTCCTTAAGATTTCTGTGAGTGCATACACTCTAGCAGGACTGGCTACTGCGATGCGTTCTTCCTTTCTCATACGGAAATCTCGAGCTTGTGAGATGGAGCTAAGGGTGTTAAGTATTAGACCTAGAGTGCCAAAGTCGTGGTGTTTGAAGTAACTTGTTGAGAGTCTCTTCAGTTTCGTACGATCCTTTGGTTTTATGAATGACTTTCTGTGTGGGGAAACCTTTAGTGTTTGGAGTGGAATGACAGCATCTAAGCATGTGTTAGGTTATGGTAGAAGATGGTTAGGGCTCTCGATAGGTCATCAGTAGTGAAGTATTCATCCCATTCGGAGGATCTTAGCATCGATTCAACTAAGGCCCAGTTTGCCTTACTATAGTTCCTATATATTACTTGTTGTGAAGTGGAGGTATGAGATGCATTGCTACTCAGCGGAATTGGCAGTGCACACATCACTGTTTTGTGGTCGCTCCCTGGAAACTCAGAACCTACTAGCGTTGAAAGGGGGCTTATATTGTGGCAGAAGATTAAGTCTAGTACGTTATTACCTCTTGTGGGAGTAGTGACAGTTTGTTTCCAGCCAAGTATATCCAGTGTGTCTAAGAACTTATCAAATTTAGTTGGGCCTGTGGGTATATCCCAGTTGATTTCAGGTAAGTTAAAGTCCCCACATAGGATCTTATGATCGTATTGTAAGTCGGATAATTGCTCCAGAGTATTAATAAGTTGGGTCTCGTAATTACTAAAGGTGCCAGGTGCTCTGTAGGTGCATCCAATTAATGCTGTTACGTTATTTAAGTGTACATTAACCCATAGAGTCTCAGGCATGTTAAGTGTACTACTTTCTAGCTGTGATACAGTAAGTGCATTCAGAAAGTACATGAGACAACCCCCTCCCTTACCACCTTCCCTGTCACACCGAAAGTGTGTGTAGTTATCTAAGCTTATTTCTTCATCCAGATGTTCGAATGACACCAAGATTCAGTGATGACAATTACAGGGGGTTTGTATATTACTGTGAGTGCTCTGAGCATCGGCAATTTATTTAGAACAGATCTAGCATTTATGAGGATTAGGTAAAGATGAGAGTTGAAGTAGCATTTGAAGTATTTAAGTTCGTTAGTCAGCCCCGAATATGGTTCAGCACCCAGTAGTTCTGCTTGACATGACGATCCTATGTTAAGAGGAGTTTCAGCATCATGCTCACCTATGTCTATCGAGTTGGTGTGTGCTGTTTTCGGTGAAGAATTAGGAGTTGGAGTACTGGATTTGCTATAGACCAAGGAATTTTTATTTTTAGTTAGGTTACAGAAGTGGGTAGGGTTCTTTATTTGGCCTATACTTGTGCAAGTGTCAAGTGTGCCTAATGGATACGGGCGCACTAGACCGTTCCTGTTTTCATGCAAGGAGGGAGCCAGCACTAGTGGTTTAGGAGTGTTAACATCCCTACCAGCTGTTTTTTCAACGCTGACAGGGACGCGGGGGATAAAAAATGATTGGATCCTTGTGATGACCATGGCTTATTATTCCACCTATTGTTTGATGCTAGTTGTGTCCTTGTGTGGGTTTCGTGTGTACTGCATTGTGGGTTAGTTCCCAGCAGACTTGTACCATATATCCGGTCAAAATTTGTTTGTGTGCCATACTCTGAAGACCCTGAGTTGTTGATAGCCGAGTTCTGACTATTACCACTTGTACTATATAGGGTGACATTGTTGTGACATTGGATATTAGTGTGTGCCGTGGTGCGATTTCACACGTTGTGAGTGCTAATACTATTGACCGTGGGGAGTGTGGGCTTATTTAAGCTGCCACTGTTTTTGTTGGCATGATTTAGGGGCATATTTTACTTATCTTTAGCAATGGAGTTATGGACAGGAGAGGACAAGGCCGAATTTCGGGGGGTTTTGACATTTTTTCTGGGGTTATTTAGTGGCATTTTAGATTCTGCGGTGATAAGTGGTATGGATTTAATATTCATTTGGTTACAGTCTAGCGGCCTTTCGGCCAGTGTTGCACTCAGATGGGATAATTCTGTGTGTTTTGAGAGAGGTGATGTCAATGGAGTTGAAGATTGAACGATCAATTCTTGGTTGTTTGCTCAAAATCAACTTCCCCAATTTTCGCGGAGGCATCAATACGACAGTCATCGTCTCATCGGTCGCTGTTCAGAAAGAAGAGTGAAACATCGTCAGAAGTAATACAATGATTTATTATTGTAATATTTGTTTTCAGACCTTAGTTCACTTATTCCTTTTATATGTTGGTGTAACAATAAAGAAATATCAAGCGGCAGATCGGTGTTTTGGTTTTTTCGTCCGTTATAACTAAGCGTTTCTGAAAACTCAAAGGAACAGCGTGGGCCCGAGCGTAGCGAGAGCTGGGCATTAACGGTTTATGAGACGTGATTAACAGTTTCTGACGATGGAAACAGATCTGGCGGATTGAAACAGTTGGTGAAAGTTTGGATAGTCGCCGTTCATCTTTCCTGGTGCCGGTCAAGTCCTCTTTGAACAAGCAATATCTGGAACCTTTTTGGAATTGGGTCAAGTTCAACAATGCCTGGGTCAAAGAAGGGACAGAGTGTCTTGGATGCAAACAGGAAAGTAAGTCATGGTGACTTGTCTGTTAATTGTAACGATGTGTCTGATGTTAAGCATGACATGGTTGATGTTACTGTTTCGCCGTTCAGGGATAATAGGAACATCAAACTCCCTAAATTAGAACCACGGTGTTTTGATGGAAACCCGGCTGATTATTTACAATTTGTAAAGGAGTTTGAGATCATGTTGAGTAGTTTTCTATCAAGTGATGAATTGAAGTTAATGTATTTGATGAGATATTGCACTGGAGATGCTGCAAGAGCTATACAGTGTTGTAAGTTTATGAAGCCAAAAGAGGGCTACGATGAGGCTATGAGCATATTACGTCAAAGGTTTGGAAGACCTTCGATGATTGCAGGGAAATTATTCGAGGCTGTTAAGGGTAATGGTGGTCAATTACAGGATGACTCCCAGGCACTCACTGAGTTTTTAGATAATTTGCTAATTTACAAGAATGGAATGATTTCGATGAATCGCATGAGTGACCTCAACTCGAGTTTTATACTAGAAGTAATAGCAAGACGTCTACCTACTCGACTGCAAAGGAAGTGGGTGAAGATGAGCTCCCGTATGGAGGATGAGGGTATCGAGCCAAAGTTTGATGATATCCTGAAACTGGTAAAAGATAGTGCCAATCAATCTATGAGCAAGTTCGCCAGTATATTGAATCTCACCCCTAGAATAGAGCAGTCTGAGGGTAAAACGCAATCATTGATGACGAATAGACCTCAGAGAGGTGGATATCGAGAAGGCTCCATGATGTCTAGTAATGCATATAAACT